GTGCATGGATCCTCGGGGGCTCATGCTAGCCCAGTACCTGCTGTGGGCAGAGTAGACGGAGTGGGCACCCTTTCGTCTGGAGCAGTGCGAACCAGAGGTCTGACGGTGGGTTCCAACTGCAGGGCCCGAGGGTGGAACAAGAAGCTCAGGCTTAGTTGTGGCTTGCTGGGGAGACTTAAGGAAAACAGTGTGTGACTCAGCTACTGTGCCTGTGATGGTGTTTTGATCCCATCAGTAGGAGCCTGGATTGAGGTGGTGAAGACTCTTCTGGACTCGAGCTTGTCCCCATGGCCGGAGCTTATTTGGAGTGTGGGAGGGGATGCAGACACCTACACAGAGCTCATGTACAAAAAATTGATCAGACTGAGGAGAGGCTCAGGCATCACACCCATCTAGAAGAAATTCTTGAAAGTGTCCAGGCCAAGAAATGAGACATTTGCTTTTAACCTGGTGAAGCAGTGTTTACTAAAACTTGCTCCTTTGAGCTTAGTTTCTTGAGCTTGAGACACAGAAAAGAGCCCTGTGAGCCAATATGTCCAAGAAATGCAGCACCCACTGCTCAGTACCCATGAGCGTGGTAAAAGCTCTGAGAGGTCCTGCAGCAAAGAAATTTGTTCAGCATCCAATTCTCTCAAACTTATTTGATCGCAGACTTTTCCCATGTATTACCAGTTTACCTCCCGCAGGACTAGTGGCTGTCCTGTGTCTGTGCCAGCATGGGTACATGGCAGAGAGGCAGATCCCTGGTTGGATCTGCCAAGGAAGAACCTTGCAACCACTGTGGATATTTTAACCATGGAAGAGGCAGGCAGGGCTCTGGGGCCTGAGGCAGAATGTGGGCTTATAACGGGTACTGCCTAGGGAGCCAGGCTCTCTGTGGGTATCATCATTGACTTCTGGGGTTCTGTGTCCTGGGAGAGGGCTCCCTGGCTATGCAGAGGTGATGCTCCACTCAGGGAGCCGGTCGCCTCCCCGCTATTGCTGTGTGCTACTCAAGAATACTTGGAGGCTGGGAATGAGCAGTCTGTGAAGGTGAGACGCGAACACATCAATATCCTCACGACATCCCAAGTGCACACCCCAAACATTGCGTCCCAGGAGCAGCAGCTGGGGCCATCCTCCGCCCTAATTGCTTTTCTGTACTAAGCGAATGTCCTCTCTTCAGCTCTGTGTCTCCCAGTCATTGAGGTAATTACTGGAGGAAGCCAGCTGTGGCAGACGGGTGGGCGGCAGCACATCAATGCACCACCGAATGGTTGCCACCCGAGGATTTTTGTCCTGTGGTGCCAGCACCTCTCCAGTCTCCTCCTGTGGATGGGAGGCTGGCCTCTCAGCTCTGGTTCCCATCTCAGTGGGTCCAGACTGAGCTTCAGGAATGGGACAGGATGCTGCTCCTCCCAGGGACGTGACAGGCACCTTTCAGAGGGGCAAGCAGGATGCAAGGAAGGGGCTGGTGGGAAAAATGATTTTGTTCAAGATGACTTTTCTGAATCTCATGCTCGGCTGTGACACTGAACCCAGTCAATCAGCCATAGCACGTTCCGTGGGCCAGGGGACTTCGCAGGACCAGAGTGACAGAGGATGGAGATACTACTTTGGAGACAAGAGGTCATGAGACTGTAGGGTTGGTGCCTGGTTCTATGCATGACTCAGAGAAGGAAGTTACCTGCAGTTAGCGTATTCTCTTCTGCAAAATGAGAGCTCCCAGGTCCCAAAGTGCCACCAGCCTGTCCCCTTGCCTCTTGGTCTCTAGTAACCATCAAGGACTCATGAAGATCCTCTTGAGATTTCTTTGAGGTACCTCCTGAGCATGGAGCCCTCAGGTGGGAGCTGGCTGCAATGCACCCTGCTGGAACCTGGGCCCTTGGTGGCGGCCAAGGTGGGTACCCTGGGGCAGGTGGGCATGACTCTCTTTTCTGAGGGGCTGGGGTCCAGGTGCTCTGCCTATCAGGCTTCCTGTGGGTGGCAAGTGAAACTTTTCTTCCTGGTTCTCTCCCAGCAACCAGCTCCATTCCCCCAGCCCCAAGTGGCGGCTCCTTGGGCCGGAAACAATGTGCTTTCTCCACGCCTTGGAGTGGAAGTCAGCAGTTTGGCACCGTCTGGCTGGCAGCCTCTACCGGCTTCCTTTGGCACTTTATTGGCAAAGGCGGTGACATTTCTTTCAGTTGGGTGGGTGGAGCTGTTATGCAAACTCCCGCTCTCCTCATTCGCCAGATGAATATTCATGACTCAGGCAATCTGTACCAGCCAGACTTTCCTGAGGGTGGGAGCTTTTCTTCTCTTCCTCTCTCTCTTTTTCTTTCTCCTTCTCTCCTTCCCAGCTCATTGGAAAGCTGAAGTGCAGCTATATTTAATTTACAAATATAGAGCTATTGAGCTTGCCTTTTGAGATGCAGACTTTGGGGGAGAGGTGCTGGAGAACGGGGTCAGTGGCTGAAGCCTTTGGTCCTGACCCTGGGCCTCTAGGACCAGTGTCCGGCACTTGAGCCCTGGAGTCTGGGAAGCCTCGTGTGTCTGGGGTTTTGTCTTTGAGCTGGGCACCTCAGAGCCCTGGTGCCTGAAGTTGTGACCGCTCGTGCCGTCCTAGTCCCACTGGCCTCTGAGGTTGACATGGAAATTCTGAGGCAATGATGCGCGGGCCAGGCTCCCCGCAAACACCACTGCTTCCTTCCCTGCTCTCCTGTTGGCCCCCTAGACCCATCTCCGAGTTCATGGTCAGAGCCCAGAAAACACTGGGATATTTGTTAGTCATTGACTTCCTGGGGAAGGAACCAATCCTGATTTAGGGTCCCGTTTCTTCCTAGGAAGTACAGCTCCCGGCTTCCTTTGTCTCTTCCCCAGAAAGACAGCAGAAACTCTGGCAGAGGGGTCAGAATTCCCAGAATTTGCCAGGAAATGTGGTCCTAGCAAGGATGTGCTCGCATGAGTATGGCTTGTGTGTAAATATTTACGCACAGCTTAAGTGAGTCTGTGTGCCTACATCTATGTTTCAAGTGTTTGAGTGTGTGTCTGTATGTGTAAGGGCGTGAATGTGTATGTCGAGGAAAGTCTGGGAATGTTTGCATGTGCGAATGTGCCTCTCCAGTTAGAGTCGTGTGTGTACCTCTGTGGGTCTGGAGGTGGTGTGTGTAAGGGTGCTTCTGGGAGGACTGAGATAATGTGTGTAAGAGTGTGTATCTGTAAGTGGGTTGTAGGTATGTGTCAAAGTGATGTGGGGGAGACAGAGAGGGAAGGGGGAGGCCGGAGGTATGCTCCCCCCTCCATTCCCTCCCCAATACTTTCCCTCTCCCCCTTGCGGGTGGTACAGATTCTATCCAAGGACACGAACAGAAGGTTTCCCAGCACAGAGCGTCCTGAGATTACTTTATATTCCCCCCTCCTTGTTTTAACTAATCCAAATGGCAGCGTCAGACTTGCCCATTCGTACTGCCCACCGCTCAGCCTGGGGCTGGAGTGGAGGCTGTCTTGTCTGACCCTCTCTGAGAGCACCTTGTAGCCCTGAGCCAAGGAGCTGTCTTCCAGATCTCCTCATTCTGCGGCGGCCCAGGCTTCAGTGGCAAGAGCCAGCTGCCTCCCGGCCTGCCAGCGACTGCCAGGCTCTTCCAGAACCCACATCCAGGCCCGGCCTCATTTACAAATATGCAAATTTGCCTCTTTTCTGGTATGCACATGGAGACATGACAAATAGCTAATTAGGGTCAAAAGAAGCACTCTGAACCAATTAGTTGTAGGGTCGATCCCTTTTTGCTAGGAGGAGACTGAGCCTTCCTGCTGCCCTCTAAGGGACTCCCTGACGCCTTTGGATGTTCCTATCCTTTGGTCTGTCCTGTCTGGTGAAGGCTTGCTGTAAGAGAGCTCTGAAATAGAAGTCGATGTTTGGGTCCCGGTCCCACCTCTGATTCTTAGCTGTGCCCTCATCTGTCTGAGCCTCAGTCTCTTCCTCCTTGACACGGAGCGATGATGGTCCTAACTGTCCACCCTGGTGAAGGGAGACTGGAGAAGAGTTGGATGGAAATAGCCTTTGAAAATTATGCTAAAATATCTTTGACAGTCACCTCACTTGTACATCTATGGCCAGTTAAGAATGGCTATGTGAAGAGTCGTGTTGAGGAGGTTTCTGAGGCCAAGTCTAAATTCACCGGAAGTCACTCTGCTGGATTAGCAGTGTCTGGAGCAGACAAGTGTTTGGATTCTGGTAGGTCATGGGCTGCGTCGTTGTTGACGCTGAATGATTATGAATGGAGCGAGGCCCTGGTTCTAGTGCTGTTTGTTCCCTTGAATCAGCTGAGCTCAGCTTCTTGGCATAAACAGGGAGAATAAAACTTACGTCTTAGGGTTATTGCGGTGTCAACTCAGGGAGGTTAGGCAAAATGCTGCTGCCATCTGCAAGGAAAGGTGTCCATGGAATTGATGTACCAGTGGGAAGGGCATTGTTGACCGTTTAGAAGCAGTGAGCCTGAGGCTGGAAAGGGAGACACCTTGAAGAAGAAGCTGGCAGTTTGTCAGGCAGGTCTGCACGGTGGCTGGGGCCTTTCTTCCCTGCCACTACAGGATCCCGGATCCCTCTTGCCACCCTCACGCTGGTGCCCCAAGCAGGCTGCAACAAGCCCTGCTGGCCTGGCTCCACCTCTGGGTGTGAAATTTGGCTGAGTTGGCACATAGGAGAGTGGGGCAATTGGCATCCTGGAACCTGGGGCCTGGGCTAGGGCCAGTGGGCACAAGAAGGGTTGGTGGGCGGGCCCAAGCTTCAGGAAGCTCGCAAAAGCCAGCATTTGGCGGGAGTGGGACAGGAGAGGATCTGGCCTGGGGACTGTCTGCTTAGGGATACTGAGAGCTGGGCTGGAACTCTGAACAGAGCCCAGCAGCCTGCTTGTCTGCCTGGCTGCTGGCTGTGCCTGAGCATGTCGTCTTCGTATGTGCATGTATCTGAGGATATATCTGAGTGCCTGTGTTCATATACAGAAGTATACACGTGTGTCGAGGTGGCAAGGTGTGTCTGTGTGTCGGTGTTGGCGTGCACATCTGTGTACATGAAACCCCCTGCCTGTGTGTCCTCAGTGCCCTCGTGTTTCCATCGGAATCCTCCAGCGATCCGTTGTGCACCTCTCCCAGCGCGTGTGAGGGTTTGGTGAGCCCCTGACACCTCTGTTGGTGTCTGTGGACGTGACCCAGGCCTTCCTGCGGCGTCCATCCGTGTCACTGCCCCTGTGTCAGCACTCATGTTCTTCCCGCACCCTGTGCCTCTGTCTCACGCACATCTGTGAGTCTGCCCACGTCCTTGTGTCCGTGAGTGTCTCTGCGGTGGTGCTCATATGTCGGTGCGCTGCTGGGTGTGTACCTCTTCCCTTGACAGTGTTAGCTCTGCCTCGGGATGCCGCACGGCTGTGTCCAGCTGAGAAGAAACAGCTTCTTGTGGATCTGCAGCAGTCCTAGGTTGTCAGTCTGTCTTGGCCTTGACGGTGAGGCTCCTGGATTCTCAGGCTCCTTGGCTCTGCTGGGAGGGAGTTTGTCTTTGGGTTTCCCAGGGTGCTGCCCCTGACATACCAGGGCGTGGTGACCCTGGAGAAGGACCTGTTTGTTCTTTGGGATTTGTTTTATCCCTTTCTCTCTTTTTCCTTATTGCACCTCCTACCTTTTTTTCTGTTCTTTTCATTTCCCCTCCTTTCCCTCTTTTTTCTCTACCTCTTTCTTTCCTTCCCTCCTCCCTCCCCAACCTTTCAACCCTCTTGAAGAGGCTGGGCCCTGAGCTGCTGTGGAGGTGACGGGTGGAGCCTTAGAAGCTCCCTAGAGGGCTCCTGGGCCATTTAAATTAAAGCAGTTGCCTTCCCACTGCTTGTGAATAATCACCCCTGGGGGAAGCTCAGGCTGGGAACCCAAGCTTTCTCCTCCTTCTCTTGGCAGGCCTCCCTGCTGCCCTCTGCAGCAAGGGTGGATGGTGGCCCCACCCTCTGTTGGGACACCTGCAGCCGGGCTTCCTCGCCCTCTGCCCCATGACTCCTCTGCCTGGCTTGTCTGAGGAGAGTGCCTTTGGCCATCGCTGGACCTTTTCTGGAATTTGACCCAAGGTGCTCTTCCTGCCGTCTGCATCTCTGGTTGGGCAGCGCCAGCCTGGACATGGTTCTGCTCCTGTGCTGACTGTAAGTGTCTCTACCCTGGTGTGCTGAGATCCTCTGGGGCAGGAACGGGGTCAGATTCATCCCTGGGCACCCTGGGCCACGGCAGAGCTGGGAATGTGATTCTGGCGCAAAACAAGACGCACCAGTATGGATCTTGCAGCTCCTGGAGGACTCCCCTTCCTCCCTTTGCTGATGATTTTGGGTGGAACTTAAAAAATTGATTAAAAGTTAGAAAGTATATAAATAAAAATAAAATACCTGACACTAATCGTATCCTTTAAACTTTAATATAAAGAGAAAGCACGCTGTGTGTGGTGGCGCACGCCTGTCATCCCAGCACTCGGGAGGCTGAGGCAGGAGGATCGCTGTGAGCTCGAGACCAGCCTGGGCTACATAGTGAGTTCCAGGTCCGTCTCAACTACATAGTGAGACCCTGATTCAAAAAAAAAAAAAAAAAAAAGTTCAGATGACATTTTCTGGATGGTTCTAAATTCACATGAAGTTCTCAGTGGGTATCTTGACTTTGCTCCCCGCCCTTGGGGTCTGTGGCTGTATCTGCTCCTTGCTGGGATGTTGACCAGGCTAAGAGTGAAGCAGAGCGTGGAGAACTTGGGATTCATGCTTGCATGAGCCTGGATGTGAACGTTCGGAACCGCAGTTTTGTAATCTGTGCATTGGGGGAAGAGGCTTCATTTCACAGGGTGGTGCCCAGGGCCAAGGGCAATGGCTGGCATCTGTCCTTCCACCTTAGGAATGGACCCAGAGTCCGGCCCCCTCTGTTGCCATGGCAACAGGCTTGGCCCCCTCCCTCTTCTCACTTCCCAAGAGTCTATTCTGTATGCTGCAGTCGCAGCGACCTCAACTTGGAAGTATGTCGTGTCAGTTGTCTGCTCAAAACTCCCAGTGACCATCTCATCTGGAGTAAAACCCAAGCTCATCACAGGCCCTGTTATGATGAAGCCCCACCCCACCAGTTACTGTCTCTACTCTTCTTTCATGCGTCACATACCTCCAACCACACTACCCTCCTAGCTGGCCCCAAAAGTGTCAGACACATCCTGTCTCAGGACCTTTGCATGTGCTGTATCCTTTGCTAAAATGATCTTCCCCTAGATATTATCATGGCTCCCTCCATTACTTCCTACCGGTCTCAAAGGTCACCTTCATGAGGAGCTTTCTGCTCTTTTTTGTTTATTTTTCACCCATGCAAATTTATCACAGTCTTCTATACCATACCTTTTCCTGTTAGATTCTATGTTGCTTGTCTCTTCTGAAGAGAATGGAAGCTCCTTGAGAGCAGGGATTTTCCCTTTGTTTGTACCATTTGGAATAGTGCCTTGAAATAATAGGTGCTCAATAAATTTCTTGTTGAATAAATGAATTGCTCATATTTTGGCAGTAGCAGAGCCCAGGAGTGGCTGTCTCCCATCTTGGGCAATCAGAGGTTATCATTCTTCTGCAACTCTGAAAGGGCACTGTGCCAGCATTACTTCATTAGCCAGGCAGTGGGGCCCTTGGGAGGAACCGTCCTTGTCTTCCTGCTTGGGGCAGCCAGCTTGGGAGGAAGCGCCCAGGCACCGATTCTTGCCACTGCCTGGGAGTCAAGGGTGTGTCCTCCTAGGCCAGCGAGGGGTCAGTGCTGTCTGCTCCCCAGCAGCCTTTCTCTTGCCCCATGGCCTCAAGTGCATCGAAGGCCAAGATGGTCTTTTGGAAGTTTCCTTGTAGCCAGGCCTCTCCATGGGAGTAAGGGAGTCGGGCTAAGGCAGATAGCCAGTCACTGAAAATGTGAGGAGGGTTGGCTTCTCGAAGGGCATGGGATGGGTTCTATGGGCTCAGGGAGTATCATGGGCAGAGCTGGGCTTGTAGGAAGCACTGTGGGTGCTGAGGGAGGGCGGGCAGCTGGGTCCACCTGTCCTGAAGCCAGACGGGTCTCGTCCGCCTTTCTCTTGGAATGATCCGTGCCCCTCTGTAGGTGCCATCGATGCCCAGGATCAGGGTCGGGGTCGAGTCATTCAGGAGAAGGGGAGACGAGGTGGTGTATGTCACGCCTCAGAGCAGATCTTGGAGCAGCACAGGCAAGGGGTGGCCGAGTGGGAGAGTGGTTTTGCCTTCTCTACTTTTACATCCTTTCTTCCAAGGTGGACATGAGGGGTTCCCCAGAGCTGGAGGCAACACCAAGCCAGAATGACCTCCCCAACCTGACCCACTCATGGATAAACATAGATTTGTCTGGATTGTAGAACAAGAACTCTAATTTAAAAAAAAAAAATAACAGGCTTCTTTAGCTGTTTGGTGAAGCCCATAGACTATTCTCTAATAGTGTTTTAAATGCATAAAAGAAGATACATGAGGTTACAAAGGAAACTCGTTCTATTGAAATATGGTTCTAACTGTGAACCTCTGGTTGAAATGGGCAGTTATGTTCTTTTTGAAGGCAAATATCCCACTCTGAAAACCAAGCACAGGTCCCGGCTCTACCCTCCAACCCCATGCTTGGAGAGTGGGGAGGGATTTGTACATTACATTGTGGGGCCATCTTGAGGTAGAGGGGGCAGTTATGTCCCAGGCCGTCCAGGAGGCAGAGCTCCAGACACCTGGGGGAGAGCTGGCTGGGCTGTCAGGAGAGAAGTGAGCTCCCCACCCCTGCAGTTGGGGAGCTAGAGGCCAACTCGTCAGGGGACTTGGGGGTCAGGGTGGGGTGGGTGGTTTCTGCCCAGGTGGGAGAGAATTTGGGTTGATTTTCCCTGAGCTCCTTTTAGGGGTGGATCTAGGAGGTCCCCCAGGGTCTTTCTCCTTTGACTAACCTTGAGCCACCCAGCAACCTGAAAGCTGGCCTCTTTCTGTTGGCTTCTGCTTTCTAGATCTGTACAGGAAATTGGCACTAATGCCACTTCAATTTTGCCTCAGAGATAATAGCTGCTCTTGGTCGCTTGAAGACAGTGAACTTTAGGTGGAGGAGACACCTTAATGTTCTGTCTATTCCCCCAGCTCTTCACAGGGGAGAGTGTATACCATCCCACCCGACACACTCCCTCCCCTGCCCTAGCAGTCTGGAGTTTCAACAGTCTGAGACAGCCTCAGACTCTACTTCTGTGACATCACCACCTTCCCCCAAAGCATGGAGGCCATCAGCGTTGCCTATGACAGTCTTCAAAACCGTCTGGTCCCTTCCCCAGTGTGGCACAGTGGGTGGGTTAACTGAGGTCCAGGGAGGGCAAAGACTTTGTGCAGCTCCCATGACCCCGGGGGGCTGAGCTGGTTCTGAGACCCTGGCGCCCGCCTCCTCTTGCTGCTGAGCCTCAGTGCCCGGATAGGAAGGACGGCAGCAGGAAAGCAGCCCTGGGTCCCTTTTGACAAACACATCGTGCTTCCCACCTAAACCACCTCTGTGGGTGGGGAGCCCGGGACTGGTCTATTAGCTTTCTCCTGCTGTCCACCGAGGGTGCATTTGTCTGTTTTGCATTTCTTCCCCGGCTGTAGTTAGACAACTCTTGGTCCTGGGGGGAGCGCTGCAAAGAGAAAATGTCAGGGCGACACGCCGCCAAGATAACATTAGCGAAATATCAAGTCCTTTATGATGTCAGGAGGGATTCCTTCCCGCTGCCGAAGCTGCCTAATGACATCATAAAATAGGCTGGCGGCGGCCGTCGTCCCCCTGAGTCATCAATCATGCGTGTCTGCGGAGGGCCCCAGCACTCAGGGTGGGGGGTGCAGGATTTTAAACTCAAAAGAGGCTTCAGCACAGCAGCACTGTGATATGCTGAGGGGCTGAAGATGCCTTCAGCCCCCAGAAAGGGTCAGCTTCCTGGCCCACTGGGCACAAGGGGGCAGGCCTGACTCCCAAGGCCCCTCAGAGAGATCTTGGGACACTAATGGCTCCTGGGAAGGCCAGCACCCAACCTAGAGAACCCCAGAGGTGCTGAACCTGAGGAGAGCCCTATGCCCAGCCTTTCTGGTTATTGAGGGCTGGCTGACCTGTCTCTCCAGGGACATGGAGATGTTGGCAGGGACAGACAGGACTGCCGGAGACATAGGTCTGATCATCTGGTGTGATGAGTCCGGGGTCACAGCACTGGGAACATATGGAGGGGATCTTTGATTCCTTGGTGTGTGCTGCTGCATTTTCTATGTTAGCGCGCACGCGTGTGTGTGTGTGTTTCTCTGCCTCTGTGTACCTGGGGGAATTTGCAGCATGTATACAAATGGCAGCGCGCGCGTGTGTGTGTGTGTGTGTGTTTCTCTGCCTCTGTGTACCTGGGGGAATTTGCAGCATGTATACAAATGGCCTGTCCGGGTGTTTGTTTGCCATGTGCCTACTGCGTGCTTACTGCGTCCCTGCTCGTGGTTATGTGCGTCTGAGTCAGTCTGTCTCCTTGGTACCTCCTTGTTTGTCCACTTGCTTCTGCTTGTGCCTGGCAAAGTGTCTGCAGTATGAGCCAGGAGATGTGGAAGGGGATCAGAAAGGCTGAGCGGAGAGGAGATCCCAGAGGGTGAGCAGGGCCGTGGGATGTGTGTGTCAAGCACGTCCTTGCATCACCCTCAGCCTAGAGCGTGGATGTCTTAGAATCGCTTAGGGAGATTGTGAAACCTCCCCATGCCCAGCCTCACCTCACATCAATGAATTGTGACCTCTGGAGCCAGGGCCCAGGCACTGATATTTTTAAAGGCTCCCTGGGTGATTCGAAAGGGCAGCCAGGTGGAGAGCCGGGGTGTACTGAGCCAAGTGTGGTCTGGGGACGGGCAGCATTGGTCCTCACAGGCGGCTCCTGTGAAGTGTTCCGTGCAGAATAGCAGGTCTTGTACTGTACCTCCTGAGTCCCAGTCTGCATGTGCACCCCAGCCGATAGTTGAATTGTGATCCTAGGTGAGTTGTATATCTGGTAAAGTTGGAGAAGAGTGGAGCTGAGCTTCAGAAAACCCTGAGAGGTCCTACTGTGGAGCCTCATTCAGGAGGTTCGGGCAGGGACCTGAGAACAGGCTTCTTTAGGAGGGAGTCCCCAGGTCCTGCTGCTGCTGCTGGG